CCCATAGATACTTACGTATGCCCTTCACGCCTATTACTCACCGCTGAACGAATAGTCACTTGTGATGCGCAGCGCTGGGAAATTGCTTTGATTTGTGACCATTGACATCCATTTACAAGGACGTGCCTGATTGATAGATGCAATACGAGAGCATATGACACTGAAAAGGCCCTGGAGGCAAAGTAGGCCAATGGAAGAGATAGGGCTGACAGGGGCATGTAAGAGAACCTTTAATTTCAACGACAAAGATGGCCTCAGTCTTTCTCTAATTTCACATTGATACTGCCTCATGGAAAGTTTTAACCAATTGTATACACCAATCGCCATCGGAAAGCGCTTTGACCCGTGAATTTACCTGCGATATAATAAGCTGATTCACGGCAGCCGTTAATCATTTGCTGCTCCTTGTCAAAGCCTCCCTTGGCCGCTGAGTTACTACCGCGTTTTTGTGTAACGATGCAACTTTAGGTACAGAGTTGGAGGGCCAAATATCAACGTAACTAGCTGGTATTAAGCTTAGAGCTGAGACGGTCAGACGACTGGCCAAAGGGAAAGTGTAAGAAAGGGGCAATTCAAGCACACCTGTGTGGCATTTACTGAGTCTTCCTCATCGACATGTCCGGCACGCAATAGCAGCTGCATAAATCTGCAAAACAACGGTGCATGACGCGGTCTATACAGATGTATCTCTGCAATAACGATTTTCTAAGTCAGTCACGGGACAGTAATTCTGGAGGCTGAAACAAGCTGACCTTTTTCGCGACCTGTCTTATTCTGATTTCAAAAGTCGTCGAGGCCTGACGTTGTGCCGCCACAAACACAATGTCGTGTCTGGTAATATCTCACAATGCATTATAGATAGTCGCACAAGTGTGTGCGGCACTGGCACACCTCTGGCGGGTAGTACCATGTTGCCATGCCCGCAGTGTGTACATGGCTGCATCAACAGGGACGCCACCAGTCAGGGGTTCAAGCTACAGCCTCGAAATTACAGCAATGGGACCAATTGGCCTCAGAATACTGACGTATTGCTTTCTACTGTGTTCATTTCGATAGACGTTATTCCAAGACACTTTTCATTCAAGTTAATGAGCCCCTCCAGAATGGGATTCTATGTCGACCAGATATACTCGCCATCTTGCACGACCAAAGAATATCCTTAGCCGCCGTGAAGAGCATGCGTTCACAAGACAAGATGACGTATCCCTGATTCAGGGCAAACTGCAGGGCTCCCCATGGATGAGGAAACAAGGATCTGCAGGGCTCACTCATCTGATGACCAACACCGAATGAGCTACTTGATAGCATTAGTGAATTGTTTTCTTCTTTCGTACGCCGTACGAGACACATCTATTGCTCCATGTGACCACCCATCGAGTTCATGACCACAGCGCCCCAATCCAAATAGCCATCGAACCATATCGAAGGGTCAACGCCCTGGAGCACCTCGGAAGCCCAAGGCATTTCTGGATTCCAGTCCGGCATTGAGAACACATCCGATTGCATATCTTGTCCGATTACCGCCCCTGTCCCAGCTGCTCCGGTCTCGCTCGTGCTACTCCCTCCCATCTCCGTGTCTCGGGTCTCATCATGTATCTTCAGCGCTTCTGTTCCAGCCGCGACAATCTCGGCCCATCTTTCCAGTTTTGCCCTTGTGATCTTGACTTTGATTGCGCTCATGCTCCAGAGGTTGTGATCCGATGAACCAGGCTCAGTTGACGCCATCTGGAACGATGCATTGGCTTCTTCGAATCGTGCACATATTGCTGATAATATCCCTGTAACGTCAAGCGAAAGTCCTGGCTGGGTCTGGATCTGTGACCGAAGAGCGGCCACGGCAGCTGGCAGCCTCGGGTCGGTACCCTCACGGAGTGAGATTGGGCTCGTTTCATGAGAATCTCTTCCCGTCGTCACTGACGGTGTGGCAACTGATGGGCTGACACTCGCCGAATATGCGGAGTCTGCCTTGTAAATCTCATCGTGAGGATCTCGTGCGCTTGTGTCCTGCGGCATCGGCGTAGTAGCCTTTGTCAAAGGAATCGGGGCAGTGTATTTGGCCCAGCGACCGAGCATTGTCATCCCGTAAACCAGTTGTGCAACTACTGATGTTGTCTGATTGTAAAACTCTGGGATTGGGACCAGAAGCCAATCATCGAAGAACTTCTTTAAGGCGTTTCTTGACTGGTAAAAGATGTCGAGAGCTGAAGCAGCCCCCAATGTGGGAGATGTCAATGACTCTGACATTGATATAATTCGAGGGGCATCCAGGATAGGAGGTTCATATAACCGGAGCATGGCCGTATTTAGAAACATATTTATCACTCCTACAAAAGTCACCATCAGTAAATCAAAACATAAATTGTACCGATAATAGAACTCACTGTCGTTTGTAAGCTCGGGAGGTAGCCCATTCCTGATCCTGTCAAGTTCGCTATGAAACGCAGAAACGTAGGCTGATAATGGGGCTGCTGGTAGACCAACAACTTCTTCCGCTGGGTCATCGGGAGCGTTGAGTTGCGCGATCCTTTCCGTCAAGTGCTGAACCCTGACGAGTGTCACGAGCCGCATGTCTGTATCGTATTCCCTCTCCTGCTCAAGAACAGCCAGGCATTGCTGGATGTATTTGGTGTACCGCATGGGTTCTATCCGTAGGAACCCAAGAGACATTCTAACAACAGTTAATCCCAGAAGAACCGGTCATGATAGCGGTTCAACTCACGATGAAGATAAGTACCACACTCCTAGCAAGGCTCTCCTCTCCTCGTTGGTCCTTGCTGCAGGTTGGAATGGTGTCACGACCATCAAGCTGGTCCGCTCGAGAACACTCGGGCTGCGGTGCAAGCCCAACTCGCCCACGAGGGTAGAGGCCAAGGCAATCAAGTTGTTTAGCTGCGCGTGCATGAAGCAGTGATACTTATACCATGCGATTATGACAATGATTCCAAGTAATAAGTCCAAGGATCGCTCAGAGCGGATGAGCATGTGGTCTGCTATGTACTTCATCAGATGATACATTTGAGCCCTCATCGACCTTAGACTGCGATAAGATGTAACCATGCGAATAGCTGACATGAGGAAAGGCCGCGTCGTCTTAAGTTTCACTGCTGTGACGCCATCGGGGATGATGACGAACGGGTGAAGAGCCTGCAACTCTTTTCGATAGAGCTTCAAGAGCTCCTCATCTGAGGCCGGAGGAGGGGGGGCCACTCCACTGGTTTGTCTGCAAATACATTGAGGAGGAGCATATGAGTTGTAAGTATCAGGTATTGACCAATCTATTGTCTCAGGAGTGAGTGAAGAATCTCTTTCTTTCGTTGAAGGCTTCCTTTGATCAGCAGTGGTAGGGTCAACCTCAGTTGGGATGCAAGTAGTGTCTGTTGCAAGATCGGCATTGGTGAGGCCACCTGCTTTGAGAAGATTGACTAGTCCATTTAGTCTCTCTTCTATTTGAGCAGTTCGTCTAGATCATGTCAGTAACGGATGATATATGTGGATGCGATGTGATGTTAGGGTTGTATGATAGGTTAACTTACGATGGTTTGACAGTTCTCTTTTTCCGGGGTCGATGAACCTGTTCTGTACAATTCTTGACTAGTCTTTCACATCTGTAAAGCATGTGTCAGTCCCATTTTCCCCTTTCAACCGCGGTCCCGGATATTATGGAGAGGGTCCGTAATGACGGCCGAAGATCCGGTCATAGTCCTCCGGAAATCCCGGGCCTTTCGGAGCCGCATCCCACGTGGCTCAACACGTCTGAGAAACCATTGCAACGTAGAAAAGGGGGTTAGAAATAAGCTTACCTGTCGCACTTTGATCCAGGAGTATTATTTGACCGTATACACTTGGCTTTCGCTGTAGAACACTGTGCGCAAGCAGCACCCCATTTAGCCGTTGCGGGCTTGGGTCTGTCTGTGTTGGAGGATATCATAACTGTGATCTGCCGTGCATAAAGAGCTTGCAGGAGAGGAATGGAAGGCGGTGTACGGTGACAAGTCCGGCGGACTTTTGACGAAAAGCAGAAAAACCCGGTTCTTTAAGTCGTGTAGTATTAGTTATTAGTAGGTAGGTTAATAAGGGAAGACGTCGAAACCGGGATGGGGCGCTTGCAAAGTCCGGTTGGTTTAGGGTGGGTCCAGGGGTTTCAGCTCCAAGAGCCTCATAACGCCATGTCGGCCGGAATTGGGGAGTGAATGCCGGTTAAAGCTTAGAAATACATTGATAAGAGTCGCGAAAGGACTCGATTGAGTCGCTGGATCAGTGGAGGTGTTATATTGACGTGTTCTTCTTATCGAGTATCAACACCAAGCTGGTGATGTTGCATGATATCATCAAAGCTCGATTCGAAATCCGCTATTCATACCTGTCAGCTCCACCAACAGAAGCATGCGCTGGATGCAATTTTCATAAGTTTACCTGAGCTGCTAACATCAGGGGAGCTTGACGAAAGATGATAACGGAGCCAAGATATATAAATTCGACAGGTTCCTACGAAACAATTCATCTCTACGAGAAACATTCATCACTAAGAGTAATGATCGCTCATCAAGGCGCAAACTTCCAACTCACGCGAGACGGAGTAAGCGCTTAAACATAACAGCATCACATCATATGGACCGATAAGAAAGAATGTAAGAAGACCAGGAGCCCTGCTCAATACGCGTCATGGCATGTCCAAGCTCAAAAAGACCATCATGTGAAAGAGGGTCGGCATTGACTCGTCACGACATGTGAAAAGGCACTCTCATAACTCGAATAGTTGCATGCTCTTGTACTCAATGAACTGGTCGCAAAAATCGAAACGCATTCTAACAAAAGAAGCCCCTTATCGAGGCACCTGATACAAGCTCCTAGCCTTTGTACGCCCGTATGTCAAATACACCATATGATGATGATACATGCCGCCCTGGAGTCATTGTGTTGTGAAAACTCCCCGAGTCGGCTTACGCAACTCCAGCAGCCCGACAGTTCCCATAATTCTTCCCATCTCCCCCTTTCTAACTTTACTTGGACCTCGACACACCAGCACCAATCACTCCAGGAAGCTTCTCCTCACCAACGCTGAAGAGCATGCCAATAGCCATGTACAGAATGGTAAGGAGGGCAATGGTGAAGCCAGCAAAGAGCCAGAACTGGACACTAATGTCCTGCTTCTGGCACATGCTACCGCCCCAGTGAGTGACACTGCCACTCTCGGACTTGGTAACTTGACAGTGGCAGACGAAGCAAGAGTCCTTGCTTTTGCCGTATTTGTTCAGGCACTTTCCGTGACCTGTGCAGTTGCCCGTAGCTTCCATGCAGCTATCCTCTGAGGTGAAGCATACAGCTTTAATGGGGTTCGAAGGCTTCGCGGGTGTGGTAGAGGTTTCGGCCGGTGACTCGGCTGTCTCTTCGATAGACGAGATAACGGTCTCAGCCTGTCGACGTCGAAGCTCTTGATCCTTGTCGGACTTGTCCTCAGAGTCGACGCCGATGGGCAGGAAAACCAGGATGGTCTGTAGTTCGCCTGACTCGGCGAGCTTCTGAAGCTTGGGAAGCTCATTTAGTAGGGTAGTGGGGTGATCACCATCCTATCGCGTCATTAGAAAACAACTTGGGGCAATGAAAATGATAGGAGTTAGTTACCTGGGATCTGCTGTATGACGCATAAGCAGATTGGCCATTGAAACACTTCTCGTCCAAGGCAGCAATCTGGCTCAGGGGACACTCGGGCATCTTGGCGAGGACATTTACAAAGACCTCGGGATGCTCGCCATTCTCCTTGCTAATATCCGTGGTGAAGTCGGGCTGTGTGTTAAAAAGCCAGCCAAAGAACGATTCGTATTCGAAGGAGGGCATTCCCTCAATGGTAATAGCGAGCTGGCGCGGCGTCGCGGTCTTCTCATCGGAGAGCAATGGCGCAGGGGCCTTTCCATATTTGTTCATTAAAGAAACGACACGCTCTTCATCGTCGGAAGCTGTGAGATCGCGAAATGAAAAGTCCCGTCCCTCGGGGGCGAGGCGCTGGTACAGGATGAGACGGGCTTCGCTGGGAGTGATGCTCGTCGTAGGCTCGATGTGATGGGATCCTCGGAGGATGTAAACTTTGGTACCGTCAGCGGCGGGTTGTTGAGATGCAGCAACAATGCCTGCAAAGGCTGCACTGAGCCCAATGTTGAGCTTCATTTTTGATGCGGATTGATGAAGCTTGGTTGTCTTGAGGCTTAAGACCAGGCTGAGATAGCATAACGTCGCAAGCTTGATACAGGCAACGCGAATCCGGGATGATGCACGTGTTTGGTTGCGGCCGGGTTTCGAGTTGTTCCGTCGTCATACAGTGTGACAGCCCCCGAATTATAGCGCTACAGTGACGATCGATACAGTGTCCAGGGCATTTGACACAGTCTCAGCGATTACACTACCTATCATTGGAAGCTAATCGTAGCCGTGAGACAGCAGTTTAGCATTGCAATAATTGTTGTCGACATTGTCACGATGCATGTCATTCCTTGAATCACTATTTCAGTAGCGAGACCAATCGCATTTTCTCTTCTTATAACTTGAGCAGTTTTTATTTTGTTGTCCTCGTCCGCGGCAGCGGCAGAGGAGGCGACATGTTGGCTCGGCAGACAGCTCTGCGACAAGCAGTTCTCCCCACGACGAGGTTCCAAACCCAACGAATAGTTGCCAGCCAGATCCGACCTTTTAACAGGCGAATATCGTTCTTGCTCTGGCGTCAAAGGCAATCGAGTCCTATATCGGTCTACTTCTCTAAGCCCAGTCCTTTAACAAGCGCCAACGGGGTGAACTCAGTCTACCACAGAAGCGCAAACCAGGCGGGGTCCGAGGAAGCTAAGAGAAGACTGAGAAAGGCGAAATGGATTCTCTTCCGATATCGACTTCGGTATGTCTGGCTATAGAAGCTGTCATGGTTGAGCGAACCGCGATGCTAACCCTCCGCGAAGCCGAGCGATCTTTACAACTATTGTGCTCTATGCTTGTTGGCAAATCTTCATCGCCGTTGTATTCGATCCCATATTCGACTGGGCTGACGCAGAATGGGAGGCGCTGTCTGAAAAAGAGAAGGAGGAAGCCGAGGCCCTCCACGACCCTGACGAGCCGTTGGTATTTCTCCCATTCCCCTTCACAACCAAAGAAGTCAAACAACCACCATATCGTGGTTCGGACCCAGAGTGGCAAACATTCGTCAAAGTTAGCCAGGATAAGAAGCTTCTTCAGGAGATCAAGAGTAGGTGAAGCCAGTTCGAGAATTTGCATGTTCTGACATTTGCATAGGTGGTCTAGCAAACGAGATCAAGCGTGGTGTTGAGCGAAACCCTGCCTTCAACAAGCTTCTTGGTGGAGAAATAACCGTGAGGAAGTACTGGCTTGACATAATCTTCCCGCCTGCTCCTCCACCGATACACTATGTCTCTGGGTGAGTTCTCAACCTACACATGATATACGTTGGCTAATTTAATAAAGAATCATGATCGACGAAGAGGGCATCTTCTGGGGTGATCGACCCATCGACTCGATTGCTGCTAGCTTTCTTGCTAAGGCACTTTACCCCAAAGCTCTCGCTATGGGTTGTTGGACCTTTGTCAGTTTCTTAACGAAACAAGTAGCGCTGGATATCTCAAAAGCGATCGGCTTAAGTGAACCTGATCCCCCGGCATCTGGCTGGCACCAAGTACCAGTGGGAAACCTACCTGGCATAATTCCATCTCCGGCTGCCACCAGAACAGCAGTCCAGCACGACCCCAAGGCACATACTGCACATCTTCCCCCAGTGTTCAACGAGATCATTAGCGCTGCATTTGGTCCAGACGCAAAACTCGATCCTCGTCTTCAAGCTGCTAGCATGGCTGGTGCTCTCGCCTTTCTCCGCCATTGGAAGCCTACCAAGAGCCTGCCCGGCAGAGGATGTATCAGAGTTGACGGTATTGTTGAACTCAAGGGAAAGACAGCGGTAATGGCAGTTCTCGTTGCGGGCTACTACGATCCCAAGACTCGTCAGTACGTGGCTGTCCAGACCATGCTCAAGCACTTGATGCAGCTGAAGCAACGGCCTGCGCCTGGTTAGACTGTAACATTTAACAAAATAGGTTTCGGAAATTATGCAGGGCTTGGCATGGCGTGGCGCATGGAACAGGTTTGGCTTGAGATACCATAGGAGATTTAGAATATCAGCGTTTGATATTGCCTCGTTCTACCCTACCCACTTAACCTGTGCTGTGAAAAGATGCAGCATGAACATTTATATGCTCCCTATAAGCCTATTCCTTAGGCCAATACAAAGAAAAGAAGAAACGCATCCGTATACCCGCCCAACACCAGTACCATCCCATGCCTTCCTATATCCTGTTCATAAAAGGCATCGTAGGATATTGTTCGCACTTGCAAACTCTTCCCTCATCCAATACAGAACTAGCCACCAACACTAGATTTAGTAAGTGTTCTTCGAATTGCCCATGCAGATGCCTGCCTGCCTTCTACCATGCCCTGACTGATGATGTTGGTAGTGTTAATTCCTCAGGACGTTGATCGAGATGGTGAAAACTTCTAACTCAACCTCAGGGCCGCCTGGAACACGCTCATGTCGTGGAATGGCGGCGATGAGATGTGACTCGAGTACGTTGAGCCCTGGGTGTAGCATTGCCTCGAAAGCGCGCTCATGAGGTTGCTGACCAGGAGCTTGGTGATGAATGGGCTTAAGCGGTTGCTTGTTGACCAGTGTCCAGAGGCTGTATTGTCTATTCTGTAAATGGCTGGGTATTGCGGTAACGGCAAGAATGCGGGTGAGATGAGGGGGCAGGTTGAGAGTGGCAGACTGTTCCATCTCCTTAGGGTTGGGTCTGATAGTTGCCAGTATAGGACTGTGTGATTGAAGAGTGGGGTGAACCTGAATCTTCATACTCTCAATAAGAGCATCGTCGATGCCTAGATTTGTTAGTGTTTGCAGCAAGTCAATGTGTTTGGGCGAATTACCTTTACCAGCGCGTCGAGGATGCTTTTGGTCCATATACCCATTAACAAGCGGATTGGTGATCGGTTGGGGCGGCGCCACAGGTACAGGAGCAGGTACAACGGGAGCAGCCGCAGGAACCGCAGGAGTCGCTTGGGTAGGTGCAGCGCTAGGGGGTTGTGACGGAACTGCTGGTGATGCCCTTGAGGCCTCATCCGCCTTGAGAGCCGCACTCTGTACAGAAGGACTAGGAGATGGCACTGCAGATAACGAGGTGCTTCTAGCCTTTTCTAATTGAGGGTTGACAGCTTGAGCAGGCGTTGAAGTGCGTGCCGTACCGTTCACAGTCTGACCATTTGTCAAGGCCATCTTCGACTGAGCCGACGCTGGTGAGTCCGCGGAATCTCGTTGACCTCCAACATGGATGGTGATCTTCTTGGGTCCGGGTGTAGGCGTCTCACTGGATCCGCCAACCTTTAGCTTAATCTTCGGTTGAGCAGGTTCAGTTACAACGGCTTGTGCTTGTTTTAACTGCTCATAAAAGAATTTCTGCAACGCGGTTAGAAATGTTGATGAAGAAAGCAAGAAGGCACTGACCTCGAGATCCTGCGCAACCAAGTAGATCTCACTACCTTCTTCATTGTAAAAGTACGCGTTGGTCCACAATAGCTTTGCCTTCTCCTCAAAAGCAGCCCATGACTTGTAATCGCTAACTCCAGTTGAGCCACCACGACCGTGGAAACCCTTGACTGCCTTCTGCAGTTTTCGGATCGACATGGGGTCACTGATAACCTTGAAATACTCCTTGAGAGACCGAGGCGGTAGGTTGATGAAAGCTTCGAAGTAAGGGCCATCGTATCCAGGGTCTTCGCGTCGGATAAGCTCCTCGATGAGCTTTTCCTGGGCTTGCTGAAATGTCAATCCCTTGTAGGGTACATCTTCGTAGACGTGGTCTGGCTTTGCAGCTGGCGCTGCTGGCTTCGGGGTCTCTTTGCCTCGAGTGGACGCCCTTCGACCAGGTGTACGACCAGGTGTTCTCCGCTTGAGTGTAATGGTTCGTCTACGAGAGCTTGGCGCCTCTTCTTCTTCCTCTTCCTCGTCCTCTTCATCCTCGTCTTCTTTTTCTTCCTCGGGCTCATCTTCATCTTCGTTGTCGTTCATTTCTTCGTCCTCGTTGTCCTCATTGGCCTCCTCCTCCTCGTCATCCGGGAACGGGGTCGGCACAGCCTGATAACCTCTGACATGATATGCCGGATTTTTCTTGGTCATGTAATTGCTGACAGCCTTTCTCAATCGTTCCGCATCTTCGAATATCTCGGTTCCCCGAGGGTAGAACTCCTTCGCATTGCTGATCATGCGCTTGAAGTAGCCCTCGAGTTCGGACAAGTTCTCGAATTCGCCATCGTTCAGTTTCTGCTCGATCATGGACAATGAGATGGGCATGCGTGTTTGTTCGTAATAGTCTGCATTTTCCTCGCGGGGTGGAAGTTCTTCGAAATTGGTTGCGACAAGACGCCCACTACAGGATGAGTCAGTACGATAATGATAATTGGAGATCGGGTTGGAATCACGCTTTGTCGGCAGTTTTTCGAATATGCTCTAGGAACGACAGACCATATGTAGTTGTCGATTCTCGAGATTCGCCTTTGGAAAGATCGAAATCGCCCTAGAACGTAATGTCAGTCAATAAATCGATGGGGTGATAGCGGAGTGACAGAGGTTGTCAAGTTGTGCTATGAGGGGATCTTCGAGGACTGGAAAGATTCAGATTCGCGAGAAGCGACAGGTCGGACTTACAGTAAGTCTGCGACGCTTAGAGCCTCTATCGTCGTTGTCGACCGCTGCAGTACCATTGGCCTTGCGTTTGCTCTCCATTGTGATTATAATCGATAGGGTCGCCTAATCGAGCGCATCAAAGATAATTACGGTATGTTTTCCTTGAGGACTTCGTTGAGACGCAATTGAGGATCGCAAATCTGGAGATCGAGGTCGTTTGCGACGGCGCTTGTGTGGATTTTGACGCGTGCGATCCAATGGTCGCGTCAAGCAAGATACCAAGTCCAGGGTCGGGCCTCAAAAAAACAGGGTAGAAATTAGAGGATGCACTGTATAAAATGCACCTTTAGAATGCTTTGCAGGCCCCCGTTTTGCTTTAGGCTATCGCGGGTCTATGCAGGCCCTCCAAACGCTCCGATGCTGGTGATTTTGATGCGGTGGTAAATGGGGCTGGCTTCTTTGGAGCTGAGGGCGAGGTTTAGAGGCACATTCAATGGATCCAATGCTAGTGGTGGCCCGTGGAGGTACGGTATCCACTTCGACCTACCGAGAGCTATAATGTGTGCCTGAAAACGGGTTAAGGCAACAAGGCAGACAGTGATAATGGAATTCAACAATATTGATCATCAACAGACAATAAAGGGCCATTACTCGACACAATTCATACTTATTACATTGGTAGCGGCGTCTCTGTGGTGCCATTGTTCTCGCAAGCTCTGATTCTCATGCATCGAACTTGAAAGGCACCCATGATACGAATTAAAGCAGATCGCCTACGCTATGATCGCTCCATGTATCATGAAACCTGTACTTTGGACAATATGAATAGTTAAATTCAAATCGATCTGTTGATTTTCAGGAGCAGATAGTTAGCGAATAGGTGAATGCACTTAACTTTGAGGAAATACGCATATTTCAATTCCAAGCTTTGAACATTCAACTCATGACCAGCTGAGGAAAATTGATTAATTGCCATGATGAATGAAGAGTCGCTACGAGGGGCAGCTTTAGAGGCTAGGAGCAGGAAGCCCAGTCAAACGGGGCGCTGCTAAAGCTCAAAGCTCCCATTATTCAACCCCACATTGACCTCATTCAAGATTCAGATCTCATCTTATTAGGGACTGTAACCTTTACAACTTCACTTTACCAACACGAGGAATCAAAGAAGCCAGACAAGATGGCTGACACACCAAGCGAACCACCTCCTGACTATGATAAGTCCACCGCCACTCAGAGCACCCCTCAGCGGCCCTTACGGAAAGGTCCTATACCGCTAGAACTCCCAATTCTGAAGCACCTCAACGGCAAGAGAGTGATTCTTGCATCTGCCTCACCACGAAGAAAGGCATTGCTCCAACAGGTGAGCCAAAACCATGGGAGTCAATCCCAATAGCCTTTTTCTCACAAAAGACAGTTCGGCCTTACAAACCTCGAGATTCTCCCATCCACCAAACCCGAGAATCTCGATAAAGCTGCACTAGGTCCTTACGAGTATGTAGCTGCAACTGCTCACCAAAAGTGTATGGATGTTTATACTACCGCACTTGAAGTTCATCTGAAATCTATACCGGACCCTGATCTCGTCATCGCTGCGGACACTGTTATCGTTACCAAGGATGGTCGGATCCTGGAGAAGCCTCGAAGTGAAGCTGATCACATTCGCATGCTCAAACATCTGCGAGACCAGAGAATGCACAAGGTCTTGACATCGATTGTAGTAATCGCTCCAAGAGAAGACGCGAGACATCCGGGCTATGTCATCGATACCTACACAGAAGAGACAAAGGTGTACTTCTTGAGTGAATCTGATGGTCTTCCTGATGATGTGATTGAGGCATATGTCAAGACTCGTGAGGGTGCGGATAAGGCTGGTGGCTACGCTGTTCAAGGCGTGGGCGGCATGTTGCTTGTTGAGAAGCTTGACGGAAGTGTCGACAACGTTGTTGGACTTCCAGTGAGAAAATGCATGGCTATGGCAGAGAAAGTCATATTCAGGCAGGAAGAGGAGGACTTTGAAGGTGAAGGCGAGGAAGAGGACTAAATGTTAGGCAAGAATAGAGGATACCAGGGAAATAGAATGGATACTCATGCAATTTAACGAGCTACACAAATGTGGCTTGACCAGTCCCCATTTTGTCAGTCCTTTATTTCTCCCTGGCTTCTTCTAAGTTGCTCGGGTTTCCAGAAGTGTTCTTTGAAGCTGATAGGTGCAAAATGGTTCTATCCCGTCATCGTGGACCCAAGGTCTCAGCACCAGACGACATATGATACCCGCTCCTCATGACTACTTTTAAGTGAGTTAACAGACAGATTGCATTAACAAGGACAAGGTGCCTTGTAGTATTGAGCAAAGCAGTTTGAGCCTCATGGATATACTCAGAACGGTAGAGTGAAGCCAAATAATTACATAATTACCATGACTAAATTAAAACATTGGTGTTGCAGATCAGGAACAGCCAAACCCAAGACATGATTCAATCGCCAAACCAGGAGAACGCCCGCCTTCCATATTGGATGTCAATATGCAAGGACCAGGCAGACTAAGGGTCCTGTAGTGTCATTTTCACATGGAAAATCCGGGGACAGCACCCTTGCACGTCATTTGCAACCTACATATCCTCTCTCACATGAAAGTTCTATGCGCATCTTGACAAAATTTGCACGTTTGTTTGTTTGTTTACGTCTCACTACCTTTCTCCTCATTATCACTACTCGGCCAAATAATGTCGTCTCCGAATAACAAGTCTCCCGCCAATGGCGATGCCGGTGCTGCCGATGAGAAACCACGACTTACTGAGGAGGAAAAGAAGCAGAACCACATCGCATCTGGTATGTGAACTATTTACACGTGATAGCTACTGTCGCATGATATCTGAGATACTCTTGAGTACATCCTTGAGATGATATTCGCTAATACGGATCAATCAGAGCAGAAGCGACGACAAGCGATTCGTGAAGGCTTCGACCGCTTGACTGAACTGGTGCCTGGCTTAGAAGGGCAGGGGAGATCCGAAGGCCTGGTTCTGAAGCGGACGGTTGACTATATGCGTGAGCAGCTCTCAGAGAGGCAGGCCATGGTTGATCGCATTGAACAGGCTGGCGGTGATGTCGATGAGAAACACAAGAGGTGAGTCGGGTGACCACTTTACGATCAACGAACCAGGTACTGACTATCTTTCAAGGGCCCTATATGAACAGGCGACGAACCCAGGTCGTACTAGGGGATGATTACACACTTTGATGGTCTTCACAGCTACCGCAAGTCAAGAGCCCGAACAGACTCAACAGCCTGGGGCATTGAGACGATGGAACTGATTGACTGTCGCATATTAGCACCTGACCATCCCAAATCGCGATAGCAACGAGCCGCGCCACGATGGCAGCGCCGCGCTATCAGCATGACTAGGGAAGAGAGACTGATATAGAGACTATTGTATCATACAAATGTGTTTTAACAGCTATTATTACATGACATCGCATATCTATCTTTGTCTAGGCAAATGTGTCTACCATGGTTTTGAACCGCTCACGCACCTCCTCTGGTGATAGCATCTCCTTACCCAGCGAAACCCGCTTGTTCTCTACATCTTTCTGTCCGATCACGAGGATCTCGCCGTAGTTCTTCTCTCTTGCCTCCTTGATTTTCGCACCCAGAGGTCGTGCACTATCATCTATGTCAACCGACAGCCCAGTCGGTCGAAATGCGTTATCCTGACTAGGGAGTGTGCCGTTCTCAAGCTGCTCGTAAAGTTGGTCGTTGTTACCGACCAGCACACTGCGCACTTGTCCCGCCCATTCGACAACAGGCTCGGCAGTGTTAATGGTGAGAATGATGACTTGGCGGGGGTTCAACCAGAAAGGCCACTTGCCATTGTACTTCTCGATCAGGAGAGCCATGAGACGTTCAACCGAGCCCAGGACAGCGCGGTGAATCATAACAGGGCGCACGGGGCCATACTCATCGAGCAGAGAAGCATCTGTGGTCGTCTCGCCTCTAGCTTCATATTCTGGCGCAGGGGCCTGATACTCAAGTTCAAATCGCTTGGGTAGTTGAAAGTCAAGTTGAATGGTCGCCGTCTGATGCTCCTTTCCATCCGAGTCTGTGAGGACGATATCGATCTTGGGCCCGTAGAAAGCACCATCTCCCTCATTCACACCCCATTCCATGCCTGAAGCGTCCAGGGCTCGCTTCAAGGCGTTCTCGGCCTGGTCCCACTCCTCTTCGGTACCAATGTAGTGATCCTTTGGCCGTGTGGAGAGTGCAAGTCGATAGTTTGAGCCAAATCGCAGGACAGTGTACACCACCTTGACAAAGTCTAGAGTCTTCTTGATCTCCTTCTCAACTTGAATCGGTCGGCAAAAGATGTGTCCATCATCCTGGTGAAAACGCCGAACACGAGTGAGTCCACTCAATGCGCCGGAAATCTCGTTTCGATGCAGCGGACTGAAGTCGGCATATCGAATTGGAAGATCTCGGTAACTGCGGTTTTTGGATGCGAAAATGATGCAGTGGCCAGGGCAGTTCATGGGTTTTAGACCATAATCACCCGCTTCCTCCTCGTCTGGCTTTAGTTCCTTCTGGTCACTCCCACAGCATCCGTCATGTTGCGCAGGCGGCGGTTCTGTATTCCCTCTTACAGCATACATGTCGTCGGCGTAGTTTTCCAAATGACCTGACTTTGCCCATAGTGACTTTTTGTAGATGGTTGGCGTAATGACCTCCTCGAAGCCATATCGTACGTATTGCTTTCGGAGAAAGTCTACAAGTCGATTGAAGATTCGCGAGCCATTCGGTAGGAATATCGGGGAGCCAGGGCTGTAGATCGAGCTGATAAAGAGTTCTTGCTTGGTACCGAGTTTACGATGGTCGGGGGGTTCTCGCTTTTCGGACTTTTCAGAGTAAAATCGGCTGCGGGAGATGCATTGAGGGCACGTCCATGGCCTTCTAAGAGATGTATTGAAGGCATCTCGGGCAGTCCTCGAGCGGATCATGGCCACTTCAGCAAGCAATGGCGCGTGATAGATCGATACTCAATGCTTTTGCGGAAATATGACGATCCAAAATTCACAAACCCACCTGAAATCGTTCCATGGACGCCTGCCAGCTTGTTGCTGTTTAAAGCCTAGCGGACACCCACGGGCCGCTATTCTTAGCGGTCAGCTATCGCCTATCGGCAGTCGGTGGCCATGTCCAGCTCGTGTAGCGGTTAACAATATGATACAGGGCAATGTATTGCATATAAATCTATAGAAAGTAGAGTCATACTGATAATTGGTACGTCAAACTCCGGTAGTTCAGATCATATGTAATTCCATATATGAAAGGTGAGATCATAGGCTGAATGTACAGTCCCTTTGTTTTATAGTGGTTATGGACATTGTGGCATGGGTCTTTGGGTCTTTGTGTGACCCCTCCCCAACGCTAACAACCTAATGGAACCCCGCCATCCATACAAACAGAGCAACTGCGTGAGCATTGGATCTCAGCTAGCCAAAATTCACGACTCTTCTTCATACCGTAATTTCTCTTCGCACTTACACAACGAGGCCCTCGCTCTCTTAGTACTCTGTTACCATATCTAAGCTCCTTCAGTCCTAACTAATCCTGCGGCTCCTACGGACATAAGCCGCTGCTGGCTCTCACCATGAGCTTCGCTATCGAAGTCCCAGGCGATGCGAATCCGCTGTCATTGCAGTCGCTTTACCAGACACTGCAGTCAGCCACCTCAACCGATTATGCGCAGCGTCAGACGGCAGGGCAACAACTAACATCATGGGAGCTCCAACCAGGCTACTACTCTTCGTTGCAGGTGAGCCTATGGCCGAGATCGAGACTCTTTTCAAGGCACTAACAATCTCGCAGGCTGTCTACCTCGACAAGTCCCTCGCCTACGAAGTTCGATTTCTCGCCATTATTCAGCTCAAGAACGGTATTGACCGCTATTGGCGGCTGTATAATCAGGTCAAGAATAGTATAAAACCGGAGGAGAAGAGCTTGATACGCTCACGACTATTCCAAGGTTCTATCGAGGAAGAGCACACCAACCTTGCTCTACACAATGCCCTGGTGGTCGCGAAGATCGTTAGAATCGATTATCCTGGCGAATGGCCAGATGCTATGGGCAATATTATCGAGCTACTCCGTTCATCGCGAAATGGCAACCAAAGACATCTTCACGGCATCCTCGAGATTCTACTACGAGTGGTAAAGGAACTGGGAACCGCACGAATGCGAAAGAACCAGACCGCGCTACAATCAGTCACCCCTGAGATCGTTCACGTTCTAAGCGAAGTCTACTCAGAAAAGTCCCAGGCATGGATGGGCTTCCTTACTGGTGGGCCGGGACGTCAGGAGGAAGTCAACCTGGCTATGCTCAACAGCTTACTTGCTCTTCGAGTCCTCCGCCGACTCGTTATAATGGGCTACGAGCGCCCCCACAGTGACAACACTGTTGAGCAATTCTGGACTTTGTCACAGAACCAGTTCGGGCAGCTGCTCAACCTTGTTAGTCATGACTCGGCAGTCCCACCAAATTATCAAGAAGTTGTTGGCAAACACTTGCTCCAATTTACCAAGCTACACATTGACATGGCGGAGCAGCATGCCGCCAGCTTTGTGTTTCTTCCCAACTCTATCCCATTGGTGCAATCATATTGGGAGCTGGTTGCGAAGTTTGCAGAGGTATTCGATAAGTCTGGCGGTATCAGACAAGGCCCATCAGAGACCGGATCTGCAAAGTCCAAGGTCGAGGGCCCTGTACTAGAAAGACTGGCGCTCAAGGGACTTCTCCTTCTCAGGTCATGCGTTCGAATAGGGTTTCAGCATGTCCAGACTTTTAGATGGCGAAGCCCAGAAACAAAAGCCGAGCAAGAAAAGGCTAAGAACCTGATCAAAACGGAACTTTTGAAACCCGATCTCGTCATTCAAATTGTTAACTCCATCATCACCCATCTCTTTGTCTTCCGTAAGTCGGATCTTGAAGGTTGGGAGGAAGATCCCGAGGAGTGGGAGCAACAGGAACAGAGCGAAGGAAATGCTTATGAGTGGGAAGTGAGGCCATGTGCTGAAAAGCTATTCCTGGATCTTCTCACAAACTATAAGGAGTTGCTAGTCCCTCCCCTGTTGTCTTATTTCCAGACAGCACAAGATCCACAGGCCGATATTGCTACCAAAGAGGCAGTTTATACTGCAATGGGCCTCGCCGCTGCTCATGTTCATCATATGTTTGACTTTGATGCCGTTCTGGCTTCAACGATTGTCAATGATGCACGTCTAGAAGGCGGACTCTGCAAGGTACTGCGGCGACGAATCGCCATCCTTGTGAGTCAGTGGGCTCCTATCAAGCTCGATGACTCAAGTAGGCCAATTGTCTACCAAATTTACCGGCATTTCCTCAACCCTGAGGATGAGACCAATGATGTGGTTGTCAGAATTACAGCTGCCCGACAACTACGATGGATTGCCGATGAGCTTGACTTCAACGTGGATGCTTTCCTGCCATACACTTCTGATGTTTTGTCACAACTCATCAACCTTGTTCAAAGTGTTGATGTCGATGAGACCAAGTTGGCTATCCTTGAGTCCATTAGAATTCTGGTTACACGAATGGAAGAGCAAGTATCACAATTTGGAGACCAGCTCATGTCGGCTCTTCCTACAGTTTGGGAGAACTCGGGTGCTGAAGAGTACATGATCAAACAAGCAGTCACATCAATCTTCGCAGCCCTCGTTATGAGCATGGGCCCCGATTCACAACGATATCAGCATTTCATGCTGCCACTCCTCTCTGAAGCAGCCCGTCGGGGATCAGACCTACACCTCCATCTGATTGATGAGTCTTTGGAATTGTGGAATAATATTCTCATGCAGAGCTATGCTCCCCTGGCTCCTGAGTTGGTAAACATTGCAGAACTTGTTCTGCCACTACTCGAATATGATAGTGAGACGGCCTCACTGGCTCTAACAGCTGTCGAGTCTTATATCCTTCTTGCTCCCGCTTCTATGCTTGAAGACCGCCTGCGTCGCCCGACATTAAGCGCCTTGTCTAATATCTTAGATTCAAAGAGCCGGGAACAAGTTCGCATGGGTACTAGTTGCATTGAGAATTTTATCAGGGCCGCTGTAGAGCTTGGCGGCTCGACGGGCGTTTCAGTTATCTTACAGGATATGGTTGAAATCGGCTTCATGAACAAAATTCTCGGAAACCTACATGACGCTTGGGAATCACATCAGACCACAGGCCCTAACCGAAAGGTCAGCAAACTCAGTACTATCACTGAGACAGATTACTTTGCCATTCTAGGACGATTGGCTCTTGCTGAACCCACACTCTTCAGTCAGATGCTGACCAATATAGGTTCGCTTGATCAAGTCTGGGCCTGGCTCTCATCTGAGTGGTTCTCGCACATGTCAAGCATGGACCACATTGAGCGGCAGAAGCTCTACCTGCTTGGCTTGACAAGACTGCTGGAATTGCCATCACCAGTTCAAGAACTCGTGTTGAGTAAGCTACAGGACTACTTCGATATGTGGATCAATGTGATTTCTGATCTCCAAGATGGTGTGGCAAACGGAACTGATACCCTGATATGGGGTCCTTTGGAGACCACCGAATATGATACCCCCAAGATTATTGCGGAGCGCAACATGGAAGCCAAAGATCCCATCCATACCGTTCACGCCTTCGATTTTGTCAAGATGCGCCTGCAGGACTTGGTGAACATGGTCGGAGGTGAGCAGGCCTTCCAGGAGCAGTGGGCTGTCAATGTGGATAAAGAGGTGCTGGACAAGTTCCAGCAGATGGCTTCTGGTGTTCAGCAACAACAGCAGCAGCAGCAGTAAGATAATATCATTGGATATGGGCTTAGAGTAGCAGAAGATTACGATGATGAATTGGGAAATGATACACCAGGGATTGCTTTGCATTAAGTAAGATTAGACCATTGTTAACGGGTTCATACAAATGGCTGAAGATTACTACGAAGTCCTCTCTCAATGGTGGTTAACTCAGCCAATTGAGTTTTCAGTAACATAAATCTATCTCTTCGGTCACATGTCGCATACAGCCGCCATCTATAGCTTGCTCTGTCCCTCCTCGGGTATCTTAATAACGACCTTACCCCATGTCCCACGGCCACCAAGAGCCTTCAGCGCAGCCCCAGTTCTCTCAAGACCAACAAACTCCTCATCGGTATACTCAGTACCCCTGAGCTTGCCCTGCTTAACGAGATCCATGATGCCATTCCACACCTTGGGTATCGTCTCCCTCTCGTGGATAGAATAAGCACCCCAGTGAAGTCCGACAATAGAGATGTTCTTGAGGAGAACCTTGTTCATGGCCACCTTTTCGATCTTGCCAGCTGCGAAGCCGATAACAAGAATTCGACCGTTCCAGGCTGTGCACTTTGTAGAAAGGTCAACCAGACCGACGGGGTCGTAAACGATGTCGACTCCACGAGACTTGGGAGTCAAAGCCTTGACCTTAGCGGGCCATGTAGCGTCGTTGTAAGAGATGACATAGTCGGCGCCATAAGACTTTGCAATGTCGAGCTTATGCTGTGTAGAAGCTGTCGCGATAACAGTCGCGCCAAAAGCCTTGGCCACTATTTCATGTCAGTTCTTATTCTCATCACCACTTCTGGGTATCTCATACCTTGAACGGCTGCAAGACCAACACCACCAGCTGCGGCATGGACAAGCACGTAATCGCCCTTCTTGACACCCGCTCTCACAACCAGAGCGCCATAACTTGTAGGCGCAGTAACAAACAGACCAGCCGCCTCCTTGAACGACCAACCATCGGGGACAGGCAGGAGCGTCTCTTCTTTCGCCTTGATCTTTGTCGCAAAAGCGCCCTGGGATGCGCCAAAGACTCGCGATCCAACGGGAAACTTGGGGTTGGAGCTCTTGGGTGTGGCGATAACAGTACCTGCGAATTCGGCGCCGGCGATCCAGGGAAAAGCTATATAGTGTTAGTATTTTGTGGGTGAGTGCTTATGGGGATGAGCTTACGAGGTTGGTTTTGGTATTTTCCTTGGATTTGTAAGATATCGAAGAAGTTGGCGGCGGCGGCGTGGACTTGGATGAGATATTCATGATCTGTGGGCTTGGGATCGGGAAGGTCTGAGACCTGGAGCTGATCAGGGCCCTTTTTGATTTGTTAGTATATTCAACGGAAGCGATTGGTGACATTGGAAGCTCACCTTGAGGTATTCGGTGATTTGGATGCCGCGCATGATGGATATGGCTGTTATGTATGTGGCTGGGTATTATGAGTGAAGTTCCGCCCGTAAACAATTGGAGGTGATCAAGAGTTGACTAGGAAATCACAAGATATAGTTTACGTGACAAATGGAGGAGAGATTAGAGATGTCGCAAAAGGAAAAGAAAAAGAAAAAGAACAGATTTAATAGCTGGCGTCGGTTACCTTGGTCGCAGCCAGAGTCTGGGGTTACGCGGGGAAGAGATCCATGAGCCGAGGCATCTTCCCCCGGCGATCGGCCCCTACTTTTAGTTGATTGATCGATACTAACGTTACGAGTATGTACACCAATAATGGATAATTACATCAACGTTCATGATGTTCCTATTAGCACTCTAGCCTCATGAGTTCAGCTATAATCAGAGTCATGACTAATTACAAATCACATTAAAACAAGCCGTAATCGAAGTTCGAAGTACTCTCTCTCTGTTCCAAACCTGATATTTAGGACCACACCATGCTTCACCTAGAGGATATCTCCCCAATCAACCTGTGTTGCTCGGCTTGTCTCGCAGTCTTGACTCGAATGCCCCTCCCAACTGAAGTGGGCAACCATTGGATTCTAATCCCCAGACTCTCCGCGCTGGACCTGTAGTTCAAGGTCCGCTAAGCAAATGCTCAATGGCACCCTGAACACTTCCGCCACTTCGACGCAGGGCCGCAACATTGCGATCAAAGTCAAAGAACCCCATATCATTAAGCTGGCGCAATTGCTCAGCGTAGCGCTCTTCCGGAGGTCGGTTATCAGCAGGAGCCGCAGGAGCCGAGTCCAATCCACCACCACCAAACATTTGCATCATCTGCTGCATCATCTCGGGGTTCATGCCAAAAGGGTTGTTGGGCTGTGCGCCAGCTCCCGGAGGAGGGAAGAGCGCAGCGAAAGGGTTCGCGGGAGGCGGGCTAGTGGTTGAGCCCTGCTGTGTACCACCTTGGCTAGGCGTTGTTCCAGAAGTCTGCGCACCGGCCGAACTGTCCGTTGCTCCTTGGCTGGGTGTGTTGCCTGTGCCAGTCTGTCCCGTCTGTCCCGCCGCTGTCTGTCCCTGACCGACAAGTCCCTCGAGGTGCTGCATCAGCTGAGTTATGTCAGGGGCGCCTCCCTGTTGGCGTCCCAACATGCCTGAGAGAAGTGGGTTAGCGAAAGGGTTTGCCTGGCCTTGTTGACCTTGAGTAGTTCCTCCGCTGGCTGCGCCCTGGGGTGTGGTATCGGTAGCACCAGGAGCTGGGAAGGCTCCAGCCTCTCCTCCTTGCATGCTTCGCTGCATACGCATAGCCTGGCTCATCATCTCGGGGCTGCTCATCATCTGTCGCATGAATGGTGATGTGATGATTTCTCTGGCGTTGGGAAGATTTCGAAGCATGGGGTTCGAATCGATCAGCATGTTGATAAAATCGGGGTTGTTGAGGGCTTCGTTCATAGATTGTTGAACGTTGGGATCGGACATGAGTCGTTGAATTCGTGCCTCATCCATTGGAGCGCCCATCTAGAAGTATGTGTCAGAAACAGTTGACATCCACAGGGCATCATACGTACACCACCGTCGGGCCCGAACATATCAAGCCCAGGGAGGCCATTCCCAAATCCAGCATATCGAGCACCAGTCAAGTTGGCAAAAGGTTGGTTGGCCGTGCCTGAAGCCATGTTGGTGGGGGCGGGAGTCGATGTGGAGGTGCTGGCGGCGGGAGTTTGGTTGGGCTGCTGATTGCTGGCAGCGCTCTTGACCATATGGATTGTGTTGTTGTGCTTAATCTTGTAGGTGCTCAGGGCATCATCGTTCTTCATGACTCGGCCAGAGTAGATTAGACGCTGTCGTTCAACGGGAATGTTCTCAAAGTCCTCTCCAGCAAGCTTAGTCTTGAGGTCGAGGACAGTTGCTGTATCGTTGATAGTGATGCTGTGCGTGCTGTCCGAGGAAGTCTTCACCTTGAAGGTGATCTGAGAGTCAGCGCTCGGCTCGGGGTTGTCGGCCATTGTGAAGACTGGCGATATGGCGTGGCGCGGCGCAACGAGGGGGTTGAGTAGCGATAGCGGGGGGGTTGAGGATGGCAACAAGAGCTGGGAGGGAGCTCTTGAGTACAGAAGTAGATTATGAACGATCGTGAGAGCTGTGCCCAGATATGCTGTTACTGCTAAATAGAGCCACTGCCTGGGGATGTTGGGAAGAAAAGTGTAGTCTCGAAGCTAAGGCGATGTTGCAGGCGAAGTTGAAAGCAGGTAAATTGAGCGAGGCCTTGAGAAGAAGTGGAGGGTGGTAGACTAAACGTCAAGGCCCAGTCCCATACGGTAAGTGCTGAGTTACTCGATTGGATCAACTGGAGATGCAGGCGTAGGCGCAGGCAGCCTGGGCTCAGGTGGTATTGTCAGTCGGGTAGTGACGTGGGGCAACTTTTACTGCCAATGACGCGCTGTGGGTAATTATCAGATAGAATGAAGGGTTGATTAAGCAGGGCAGGATTTGGAGAAGTTAAAAAAAGAAATATCCTGTAAATACTGGTATAGACTTTGTTTGTATGTGAGTTGCGATATTGTATCAAAAGTCTTTTATGATACAGGATCGTTTCTCTTGAAAGGTTCTCTCTTAAGCATATGACCACATATCATCTTATTCCACCACCATCCATCATCTTCTGTAGCCAGATTCCAGTAATCACAGCCAAGTCAACATCATTTCCGGGAGCTACGGACTAGACCTCATCTCAACCTCTTTAACCGAAAAGGCGGACGTCATTTATTGAAATTATTCCCCTTTTCATACCTCCTTTCTGCCTTATGGGGGACACCTGTGGCTTTAGGCTGCATATAAACTCATGATTCAAGCACCCATCTTACTCTCGCAGGTATTCGGTTCCGTTTGTTCAAAAAGGCTTAAACAGCGCAATGTTCCGAATCAACGAGATTAGTTAGATGATGAAGAAAAGACTTTGGTAGGAGATCTCACTTTAGTATACTCATCTTGACGTTCAATAATGAACACACCACTCACTCACTCTATCCTTTTTACGAGGGTCTTGGGTTGATACAGGGTAATCAATTAGCGTGGGGCGTTGATCTTGGTCTCAATTGAGTTGAGCTGCGAACATGCCTTACTTGGCTTTACTAAACCATCTTCAACTCTTATCTGAAAGCTTCAATAAGATGCGCTCAAATTATTGACAAAATGGAATGAGCTGCATCGCCTAGAATAAGGACACCATCACTTTCTTATATATATATTTACCCCGGCGAATGGTCAGAGTCAATATCGACATCTCTGATCAATACCAGATAATGAGCCCGAGTCCATCATGATTCAAGGCATCTTTTACGCCAGATTCTTCCCCCAAGAGGGTAAATAGTTACAGACCAATGAGCTCATATATCTTTTCTAATACTATCCAGGCCCCAAGATTGTCGCACAGTCTCCCGCAGGCTGCATAACTCCCGTCGAAGGCTCAACCAAATCCCCTCTCATCGACTTCGACGTACTCCATGAGTACATCATTCCCAGACAAGCCTTCTGCAATCGCTATCTCACCATCAACACGCCAGACGGGAAGTACACTGTCTTAGGATATCCAGTTGTTATTCCTCACACCAAGTATCTTCGAAATGAGTTCATCTTCAACTTTGGCCTCGTGCTCGACTCTGATGTTGATCATGTCCCTTATGAGCGCGTCGTTCGTGGTCTAGCCTCGACCTTTTCTGAGATGGAAAAACAGAACGAGTATTTGAGTCAAAATGCAGAGACGAAAGGCTCTGGGAGGAGGCCGATTGATAGTTTGCTTGAGATTGTCAAAGAGGATTTGGACAATTATGGAGAGTGCATGATTCCAGTTGGTAAGCTAACTTTGTCGCTGGAACGAACTCGATACTAATAAATTGACAGACGAGGCCAACACTATCAACATGAAGCTTTTCCCTCACCACATGGATCCCCCCAGGGTTCGAGGCTGGCATGTCCCTGTCCCAAAAGCCAAATTCTCTGACATTATGGATCCGACCTGGGATCTCACCCTCCAGAAAGTCATATCTCACATCGACGGTGTTTCTGATGTTCGACGTATCGCTCACGCTGCTTCTGTCTCTCTTGAGCTAGCAAAAACTGCGCTCCGCCATCTCTTATACTACGACACTATTCTGCTTCTTGACATGTTCTTTTTCACGGCATGCTACGCTCCACGGCCTGGTATCCACGACTTTATCCGAAATGTTGACGGGATGGTCGATGAGTGTGCTGCATATGTATCGCACGGACGCGGCCTTGTGAGCAACTATCATCTTATAAAGCTCATGTCCACCTTTGTTCCTGGAAAATCCGTCATGGAATGGCTCAAGGGGCATCAAGACACAGGTTTCGAAGTCCTTCGCTTTGTTGACGTTCGCAGATTCGTCCAGTTCGGCGTCATAAAGGGTTGCATATACCGCGTTCACAAATTCGTCGTCTCTAAGCAATACCTTGCCGCCTTAGCCTCTGGCCAAAGCCGCCCTGTCCCAGGAGGAGATCCACTGCAGAAGTATACGGATGGCTGTCACCACTTTGACCAAATCATCACAGAGCAGAACATGACGGACAGTGAAATTATGGAGAAACTCAAGAAGTTGCCGGTTCCAAAGGGGGACTTGGCAGTCTTTTATAGATAGATCCAGTTTCAAACTTCTATACCCATCATTTTTTAACATTTTACATCATATCTATGGTATCATGCATATTACAATATACTACAGTGCTATGTTACACGGCAAACATATGCCGACTCTGCACAGGCAGCCCCTCATTTGCTTCTCCTATCCCATGAAAGTTGAGCCCGCTTCTCACGCACATCGTGCTTATTGGGCAGCTCAATATCCGAGTTATTGGCAACCCTCAATTGGTTTTTCTTCCTCGAGGCAATTTCAGTAAGCTCCCTGTCTGATATTGACCTACCCTTCGCTTCAGCGTCTTTCTTCAACTCCTCCTTCATTCTGCGCAGGAGACCGGTACCGGGCTGGCCAGGGTAGATCTGGCCGCTCTTCTTCCACTCTTCATCGCTGATGAGCTCGACGATTCGGACGTTGTGCTTGCCCTTGCGCATAATGAGCATGCGGTCGTCGATGAGGAACTTGGAAGTCTCTTCGGGGAACCAGGCCTTCATGGGAGTCCAGGACAGATTGCCAGGGACAAGTCCCCTCTTCTGGCCTGGCTGCGCGGCGATGTAGGCGCCTTGTGCAGAGAGCAGACGCTGGCCTTCACTACTGCTGGATGCGAGGCCAACAGCGTGGAGAATCTTCGCTGGCGAGGAGTTCATGATGGAGCGAGGGAGTTGGATATCGCTTCTTGGGGCATTGTTGGGAGTGACGATGCCAGTGTCTGGAGTAGGCTCACTGACAATACCCTTAGGTAGCTTGGTTCCGAATCGAAACTCGTGTTGCATGGCCTCCTCAACAGCCTTTTGAGCTCCGTGAATAAGTGAAACAACTTCAAACGCCAGGGTGTGCTGAGCCTTTCGCTCCTGGGGTGCCGCTCGGTGCTCGTCCATCAGCTTGGAGATCTTCTCTAGAGGAATAAAAGTGAACATCTTGAGCAAATTCTCAATCTCCTCGTCAGACCTTCTCACAAAGTAACCGTACAAGTCGAATGCTGATGTTTTGAACTCATCCAACCATATAGCGTTGCCAGCACTTTTGCCAAACTTGTTGCCGGCAGAGTCTGTTAATAACGGCACGGTGAAACCCACTGGTTCATGATCCCAAGTCGAAGGCATCTTCAGGTGAGGCGCCTCTTCGGTCTCGCGAATGGTCTTGAGGGCCTCGATTCCAGCAGTGATGTTGCCGTACTGATCTGAGCCTCCAATCTGCATCTGAACGCCAAGTTTGTTGTACATGTGCCAGAAATCCCACCCTTGAAGAAGAGGATACATAAATTCGCCGAGAGACATGCCGTCTCCCTCAGTCATCTTTCGCTTAACACTATATGTCTTTGTTAGCACTCTGAATGGCAGTTTCTGGGTCTGAGGGCAACTCACGTATCTCTAGCCAGCATAGGTCCGATTCTTGTGTGCCTGGCTATCCTTTTGGCAAAATCATAAAGAGTAAGGTTCCCTAGCCACATGTTGTTGTTCAACAAGCGATGTGTGGCAGCCCAGTCCGGCTCATACCCGTACTTCTGTTTTAATTGGTGGACATTTTGCCATAACTTTGTCAATTGGACGTGGATCTTTGTGATGTTCTTGGAAATATCGGAATTGGAAAGAATCGCTCGGCTCTCGAGTCGGTCGGTAGGATCACCGATACGGGCAGTTGAGCCACCGATCAAAGTGACAGCAGGATAACCGTGGAACCACATCCAGAACATGGGCATCAGAGGTAGCAAGTGACCGACGTGCATCGAGTCGGCGGTGGGATCGATACCGACGTAGGAGCCTATCCTCCTGACTCGCATAATTTCCTTAATCTTCTCAGGGGATCTGATGTACAAGTTAGATATATAGTCGAGTTGAGGATCATGGGTAGTGTCGCATACCCTGCCACATCCTTGATATATCCTCGTTCCTGAAGAACATCCCATGTGTGTGGAATCTCGCCTTTCTGAATCTTCTCTGCCCTCTCTTTCCATCTCTCCTCGCCTTCTGCAACTTTTTTGAGGTACGTCGTCGCGATGTTCCGAACTTGGAGGGACCGTTGTGCATTAAGGCATCTCGAATATATGGTTGTTCGTGAGGGAGCGAGTTTCGAGACGATGGCATGGATCGCCATGGTGGCTGGATTGAGCAATTGCTCAGTTGAAACAATTGGGATGGCAAAGAAAGAAATCGTCTTCAGGATCCAACTCTTCTCCAACTCAAACAAATCTGGGCATCATGGCTCGAAACTGTTAGCCCACCCCAAAAAATCCAAGCGACGTCGGATAGAATCTTCAAATGTTGACCAATCACAGAGGACATTGACGGAACAGCGCTATTGGCTCCTTGACAGGCAGAGGGATCCACACCACAGGGAAACCTTCGGGACGCCCTGGACCAATCACGAAAGAGGTAATTCGAGATCCTCGGCAATGGTAGGACATCCAGTTCCGGGGCCAGTTCGAATTGATTGATCGAGGTCCAGTCGACATCATCAATCCAATTCTTCCTCTGAACCACTAACGCCCTTCGAAGCAGCCACCAATTGAGCGCCGCGACAACATCACCAAGAATAGATCACTCAACGCTTCAAAATGGCCTCAATTGCGCGTTCCTCTCTGCTTAGGCAGACCGCTATGGCTTCTCGATTGGCCGCTGTCCCCGCGACCCGAAGCACTTTCATGCCTATGCCTAGCATCCGATCTCAGCTTAAGGGTGTCGCTGCTTTCCACAACACTGCTCGACGATCTGCTATTCTCCCTCCTGGACCTCGTGCGTACCATTAACATTGTTGTAAGGACCATATGCTGACGTATTCACAGAGCGCATCGAGGGTGGTGGTACGAATACATCCAAAAGCCGAATCGCAACTTGACCGGCTTCACATGATATAAATATCAATAACTAACAAATACTCTAGTCAACGACCCTGCTCCCATCCCCGAGCCCAACGCCGCCCACGGCTCTTACCACTGGACCTTCGAGCGTCTCCTCGCCGCCGGCCTCGTCCCCTTGACCGTCGCTCCCTTCGCTGCTGGATCTCTCAACCCTACCCTCGACGCCATCCTCTGCAGTGTTCTTCTCCTCCACTCCCACATGGGCTTCCAGCAGGTCGTCATCGACTACATTCCCTCAAGGACCTACCCTGGCCTCCGAAAGATCTTCAACTGGCTCCTCAACATTGCGACTGTCCTCGTTGGAGTTGGTCTGTACGAGTTCGAGACCAACGACGTTGGTATCACCGAGGCTGTCCGACGAGTGTGGAAGGCATAGAGTGGTTAAGCGTTGATTGGCGTGTGTAAGGTATGAAGGATGCTGTTGATAGTACTACTTGTCTTGCAGATTTGTGACTGCAGACACCTGTATAGAAAAATTTCCTTTGAGTTAACGAAGATTGCGTCAATTTCAAATAAGACGGCTCCTTTTACTTTTCCTTCCGGAACTAAAGTTCTGGCTTCTGGTTTCCAACGCGTTTTGACTTGCGAAATTTATAGGTTTTGCCGACGCTTTCAGAGTCTAGCAGGATGAAGGCTAAGAAGAAGCTGCGCAATATCAATTTGCATTGTTCAAGCTCGCTATTCTGTTCTGCACTAATTTTCGCAATATCAAATCCTTATCTCAGTCCAATCCAGCTGTCCGAGTTAGATAGTCAAAGAAGTAATCTCAGAGCCTCCAGCACGATCCATCTCGGGGGTGGGAGGGGGCAAGTTCTCCGACTTGGTGCAAATCCAGCAACTAGCATACATGTTGACACGGTCAATGCAGGCTCCATCGAGACGAGCACCATGTCGCTTGGGTGAGAAACCATGAGCCTCAAACTCTTTGATGTACCATGGGGTTAAGGCTGAAGAACGGAGCAGCACACGGCCACCCATAGCCAAAGCTCGGTTGAGCTTAGTGATCTGAGCGGCGGCGGCTCGAGATCCAGTGTCGAACCAGTCCATGCTGTCCATGACGACGGCAACAGTTAGAGTACCGGGGGTGATGCGTGCAATAACCTCCTCGAGCTCATCAGTGTGAATACGGAGACCATCAAGAGCATTAGGGCGAGAGAGCTTGGCGTGGGCCCTGGGGCTGAGATAATCAGGGTGGCACTTGGGAGAGAACTTGCCATCAATGCAAACATAGTAGTAAGGGTTATCCGCAGCTATGTGAGTCTCCTCAGCAACAGGGTCAAGAGTGTTCACCATGTAGTGCCAAATAGCGTGAGAGCGAGTGTTCTTGGCGGCAGGCTTGGGGCCCTTCACGAGGTCCGACTCGGCGTGATCAGCCTCAATCATGGCCAGCTGGTTCTTAGGAACACCAAGAGCAGCCCAGAGGAAGCTCTCCTGAGAGACAACCAGATTACAGACAAGCTTGGAGAGAAGAGCGGGGCGGATCTTTCGGCGCCAGATTTCTCGCTGCTCATTCAGGGTCTTCGCCTCAAGGAGCTGCTTCACAGCCTTCTGCAGACCAAAGATTCGTGCAATCCAACGGAATACACGGATAGCGTGGCGAGAACCTCCGGTGTCGTAAAGACCATAACCGCTGCTGTTCTGGAAGACATGGACGTTCTTGAGCCAGTACTGGAACGCGCGACCAGAAAGATGAGGAGAGAGTTTGGTGATGAGCAACTCACGGAAGTGAGGATGCTTTCCGTCTCCAAAGATCTTCCAGAAATCTTCATAAGGGAGAGCAGTGTAAGAAGCGGCCTTCAGTTCGAGCAGGTGGTTTTGGGTAGGGTTCAAGTCGACAGCATGAACGCGGGCAGGGCTTTGAAGGAGATACGAGAGAATGTTGTCACCAGCAGAAGTAATGGCCAGGACCTTGTCGTCAGCACCGAGCTTCAAGAGACGCTCATCAACACGAGTGTCCTCCCAGGTGAAAGCGTAGATGTATTCGTCCTTGAACTGAGTGTGCTTGGGGAGCTGCTCATCATAGTAGATGCGCCAATGGTGATTCTGGTAGAAGAACGAGGGTAGAGGGAGGTTGGAAGACAGATTCTGAACTGCAGTGAGGAACGCCTTAGATCGAATCTCAGGAGCAGACCTTTCAATGGCTCGAGTCAGGGCATCTCCGTGGTTGGCGGGGTACAGATAAGGGGACTCTGTGACCAGGGCGTCAATGCGTTCAACAATCTCATGGGGAAGACTAGACGACGAGAAAGGCTTCTTGTGGCATCCGAGCCAGATGTAGTAGGGGATAGCTCCCAGGCCCTTGTTGCGAGTGTTGACGTTGAGAACAGTGCCAAACTTGTACTCGAGGTAATCTCGGCGACTGGGCTCAAGACCAACCCGGTCAAGATCGAACCAAGAGCGCCAAAAGCTTCGGGACAAGAAGTTGACGTGACGGTCGACAAGACCACCAGTGTAGTTTCGGAAGGCAAAATCAACCTGGTTCTGGACATAAAAGTCAATCACTCCCACGATGCCCTGGGGTGAGAGAAGAGAAATCACGGAGTCAATGACTGAGTAGTAGTCGGGCTATCACCGGATGTCAGCGTGGGACCTCAGTACGATGCACCGTCACTTACAATCATGGACAAACTGTAAGACATGGTGATCAAGTCCGCTCCACCAAAGTCGGGGCGAGGCTTGTCAAAGTAGCTCAGAGCAGGGGAACGAGGAGGAATCGGCTTTGAAGGCATCCCAGATTCATAATCCTCAAGACGGAATTTGCGAGCGTCCTCACAGACAACCTTGACATTCTTCCAGCCAAGGCGTTCAAATCGCTTTCGTGCCACTTCGCAGAGAGAAGGGGAGAAGTCGACGAGGTATACGCTCGAGAAGAAGGTAGGGACATCGACGAACGCGCCCATGGCCTCAATGTTGAAGCCAGTGCCACCGCCAATCTGTATAACATATCAGTCATTTGTTGCGACAACATGGTTGTCATAGCAGCTCACATCAACCCAGATTTGCTTGTTCTTGTTGCCATTCTTAGGCGCATCATCCGTCAGCTTTGCCTGGATCTGCGCGGCAACAAGAGCCAGCATGTCCTCACGTCCACGGAGGAGGACCTTTCGGGTAGCATCATAAGCCCCGGCTTGCTTCTTGTAGAAGCTCTCAAGGGCATCTTGTTGATTACCCTTTTTACCGCCCTGGTGGGGTTTGATGAAGGAAGAGTAGAAGAAAAGGAAAAAGGATTTGATTAGGCCTGGGCTTTCGTCCTGGCTCTTACTGGAGAAAATTGAGGTGAGGCAGAGCGTGCTGAGAGCAGTAGCAACGATGCCGGCCAGAAGAGACTGAGCGTTAGCCAAGGACAACATGTTACCACCCTGGCATGTCGATTAGTAGGCATTGAAATTGGGGCATGGTGCAGACTTACATGAGAAGCCATGATACTCTCTCATTGTATGGTGAGAGATTGAGTGTTGAAAGAAGGGAGCTATTGAAGCAGTGTTGAAAGCTGTTCACACGATCAAGTTGAAGACAGATGAAAAATCGAGCAACAAGGACACGGCGAGCCAGGGATATATAGGTCGAGGCACGCGAGTTGATAACCAAGGAGACCTGGCTCGAAACCAATTCGGGTACATTGTCTCGGTACAACGGCCATTGCATGTAGTCGGCAGCTCAGACGCCTCGCACACGATGTGCTCAACGCGAATCTACTTGCTCATGTGTATGGAGGTCCCTGTTGATCTGCTCGACCCCACCAGATAGCCATGATAACCCCGCCGCCAGGGCTCACTCTAGGCATGAGCTATAAGATGGGTGATGGAGGTGGGAGCCAATAGCTGAAGCACATGTTCAGAGTTGATAGAGTTTCAAGGGTCTTGCAAGGCTGCTGCGGCGGCAAACATGTGCCATCCTTCGTTCGCTATGAGTAGTTACTCTTGCCCGTGGCGTGTGAGTGGGGTATATAGTTAGCAAGCGGTTTCAACTGAGTATAGTTGACGATCATGGGCTTGAAGAGCCGAGGATAATGAGGCTTCTCGAGCGTGGGCTGTGGTGACAACAGAGGTTGAATCTCACAATGAACAAGGCATTTCTTTATTGACTCTTCACTGGAAGAGCAAACATCTTCAAATCGGGGGCAAATATTAACAGGTGAAAAGAAACAAAAGTGTTGTACACATTAAACTGTTACTTGCAAAGAGTAGACATGCTTGGTGTTTTCGTATTAGTCGGGTCGTTCCAAAAGGGAATCGCAACGACCAATCAGACGATGGTAGCCAACCACATGTGGCCATCAACACTGACGTACGGATAAATGAGAGAACCCAGACAATTGGAATGAGATTCAAGAGATTTTGTGTTGCAATCAAGAAAAGCCAATTTGAACTGTGCAGGAGTTATCGGCTGCAATGGCCACGTCGCTGGATCCTGAGTATGAACAAGAATCAATCGTTCTGGCAAGCAATGACAATAATTCTCATGCTCTGGTTCGAACTAATTTTCCATATATCCTTTCAAGATGAATCAATTGTTCATAGGTGAAGCTGATGCTTCCAGCATTGGTGTTTGTCGACAGTAACAGGAGCACCGTTGACTTGTTTTCCAAATACCAAGTTTTGAGTGAAGTTTAGGGCCTTCTTCTGGTTTGCTGCGAGTAAGAAGAGCTATCGAAGAACGTGCAACTCATTTGCACCTATAGAAAGCTTGCACAGCGAGTCATTGCTTGATTTATGCATGATTTACCCGTATCTGGTCCAGGTCGAAGAACGCAATTTTGGTCGTTAGAATAAATTGCTGCAAGAATGCAGTTGACTCGGTTTCAAAGCCCCCGAAATACAGGGTGCCTTTGAGGTCCGAGTCTTGGTAGGTAATAAGTTAGTATTTACCTTATATCCAGTGTCTTCAAGAGTCCTCACCATGTTAGTGTTAACGCGTTGTTGGGTGATCTCAGTATGTGTTTTACATCAATAATTGAAAACTACCTACCTAGGGGCCAGGAGAAGAGTGATTAGCAACAGTGACTTGTAGATACCAGAGACTTTATGACTGAAGGTGATCTCATTCGATTGCTTGCTTCTGATAGTTCTTGAAAGGAACGGAATTAAACATATTCCGTGTTTGCTCTTCAAGTGCAAGGGTCCTCATCGGCATCGGGCTGTTTCCCCTCAGCTGAGAACATCAAGGGGCAGGTACGTACCGACGCCCAACCTGTACCGTGACGCACTTTAATAGGATCGCGTGCTTTAGAGCCCGTGCCGTTACTGTCTGTTGTTGTTCCCTTGTCGCAATAATCATCAAAATCTCCCACTCAACATTCGATCTTATCTGACAAATCACGCGCAACTAACCTCCCAATCAAGCGCATACTGTTCACGCTCATTTATACTCTCAAACACCCGCGGTCATGCCTCCAGGGGCGAGTCAGAAGGGGACCGGCAAGAAGAACTCGGCCATACCAAAGCAGAGCCGCAACACCACGCCTGCTCCAGTCGCGACAGCTAGTCTACCACCACAGGAGTTTTACGATCCAGACTATCTTAACACGAGAGTCATTCTTTTTCGCAATCTTACCTACGATGACATCGTCGACCAATCCGCCTCAAATGCGACCATTCCAGATTCCAAGAGCCTCGATGGCATGATTGAACGACTCAAAAGCTTATCTAATATTATGGAAAAGCGCTCGACGTTTTACGATCGCGGGATGAGGCACTTGGCAGATGAGCGCAAGAAGCGGCCATCCGAAGATTATAGCAATCGCGACGGTGAACAAGAAGGAAAACGGCCCAAACATAAAAGAAAGAAGCCCGATTCACTTGCGCCGCAGGAAGGCAATGTCGGTATGTATTTTCATGATATATGTGTTTAGCCTGAGGCAGCCGTCTGGCCACAGAGATTGCCAGTTGTTGGCACTGGCAATCAATTACCTAAACATGGGGTTCCGAACTAACTTTCTATAGAACGTTCGTCACCAATGCGAGACTCGAAAAACCGTAAACACGACCGCGATCCAAGTTCGCCCTTGTCACCTACACATGCTGGCTCGCCATCGGCCATGGATGTTGACAAGAAGGCCAAGACCGAAGAGAAAGAAGGAGACGAGGAAGAGTCGAGCTCTGAAGACGAGGGTGCGCCTCCTCGTCGCGAACAACCCCAAGCTATGACATTCGGCGAAGATCCTTCCACCTTTCCCGACCCCACCATCTACGAAATTCGAGCGACCTATCCTGGAATGCCCGATGAAGAGCGCAAAGAGATCTACTCAGTTGCGACATATCCGCCATCAGATCTTGCCGACCTTATTGCTGGCGATCCTCCCGACAAGGATTTTAGCAATGCAAAGCCCAACAGTCAGATCAACTTCTCTACGTTCTCGACGTACGTGGAGCCGTTCTTCAGACCATTTTCCGAAGAGGATCTAGCTTTTCTACGAGAACGAGGGGACCGCGTGACACCATTTGTCATGCCGAAGCGTGGCAAGAGACACTATACAGAAATATGGGCTGAGGAGGACGGCGCAATGTCGATCGATACACCACAACAAGGCCGAGATAAACTCCCTCCGAACCAGCCACGAGGAAGCATAGATAATATGGACGATGATGTCGGAGAGACAGACAAGCTTTCAGTAGGCCCCTGGTTGACCCGTTTGATGCAAACTCTTCGGCCTGAGGCCCGCGCGCAATCCGTAGACGACAAGCCTGCGACAAACGGAACCACCAATGGAGACATCAGCATGAATGGCGACGCAGACGTCGAAGACAAGCCTGCATCCTCTGATGACAAACCGAACCAGCAGCCAGCAGCTTTTATGCCCGAATCGTCAACGGAGGCCTGGAAGAAAGCTTCTCATCCAAAATTAGAATATTCACAGGTTGATGAACGCATCAAGCAGGAACTGCGACACATTGGGTTTCTTCCTCTCGATGGATTCGAAGCAGAGTACGACGGCCATTTTGACGACGAGGTCGCAGCAAGATTAAGACTTTTGCAAAACCGTCTCAAGGAGCAGATGCTGATCAACGGTGCGCGCAAGGCTCGTCTCACGGACCTTGTACGAGAGCGTATGGCGTACCAGGAATATCAGACCATCCTCGAGGATCTCGACGGCCAAGTACAAGCTGCGTACCTGAAGCGCACACGCACGATGGGCAAGAGCAAGAAGACAAAGCGTCCCGGAGGTGCAGGTGGTGGCAGTCACTTTGTGGGCGGCGCTGCGGGTACCGCTCGCCCGGGTATTGGCGATCTTACGAAGACGCTGATGGAGCGACGAAAGCGATGGATTGATACAATAGGATCAGTATTTGATGACGAGAGCCTACGCAAGGTTCCGAGAATTACAGATCCAGAGAGTTCGATTTTCAAGCCGGCAGACATGAGCGAACTGATGAACAAAGAAAAGGAGCAATGGGATGAGGAAGTGGAGGAGGATTAGAAATTCTATCTGGCCGAGTCCCCCTAGGTCTGGTCCCTAGGTATGATTCTTCTACTGTCATGGTAGACCTGATTCGTGCAAAGGCGTTGGATGGTAAATGATTGGAGTTAAGGCGATGAGTTAATGTTACCTAGAATCGGGATACCACAAGTCGTTGTTTACTCTCTGAATAAGATGAAGAAGAGAAACCGGAGCGACATGAAGAAATTGCATACGCATTGAGCCTCAAGTTTTGTGTTCTCAACTCAATTGACTCCGAAGCTACAAGCCAATGATACTTTTTGTGCTGAAGCGTTATCGACTATGTATAAACGTTTACACAATCAACAAGTTGAGAGCCAATAATCGACTAAGAAGAGTTGGATTGAAATTTTGAATGATGTAAAAGCCATGTCAACAACGGGCGCAACTGAGTGACCAATCGATCGGCCTCGACTTATCAATGAAGCCAACCCCAGGAAGTCCGTTATCTCAAGTTACAGTGGGGGAGGCACCGTAACTGTAGCTAGCTAGACCTAGAGAGCCCAGCCCGTCCTGTAGGTAAAAACTGTCAGGCTACTCTTGATGCGGCTATTCCGTGCCGAGATAGCTACCTTACCTTACCTGACTGACTATACACTTTTGGCCCCTCCTCACACTCTCACTCTTTGGATTCATTAATCTCTTGATAAGTAACCAGAAAAAAGAGTCTATTATCGCAAACATGCATCTGGTACCTAAAGAGGTACGTCTTTATCCGCCAAGGCTAAGAGACCCAGTCTGCGGAGTCATGCCGTTGGTTGGAGACATTGCTTTTGCAGGGTTGTTGCAGGCAGTACAATGAGAATAGCACATGAAAGAGCTCTAACATACTTTGTAGATCGACAAACTAGTCATCTCGCAGCTGGGATTGCTTGCTCAGAGACGATTGGCGAGGGGAGTCAAGCTGAACCATTCTGAAGCTGTGGTGAGTATGATATCGACTCGATATGAGAAATATGAGTCAAATCAGGAACTTGACTTAGTCTAACTAACACTATGAATTCAGGCTCTCATCGCCAATAACCTTCATGAGCTCATTAGAGATGGAAATCACACTGTCTCTGACCTGATGGCCCTGGGCGCCACGATGCTAGGTCGTCGTCACGTCTTGCCCTCAGTCTGCACGACTCTTCATGAGATTCAAGTCGAAGGTACCTTTCCATCAGGAACATACCTCGTCACAGTCCATAATCCCATCAGCTCAGACGATGGAGATTTGAGGAGAGCTCTATATGGCAGTTTCCTTCCTGTCCCAGACAACAGTATCTTTCCTATGGCAGCGACTGAAGAGTATCAACTCGACAAGCAGCCTGGTGCTGTTGTTCCTGTTAAGACCAAGAAGATCTCCCTCAATGAAGGAAGAAAGAGGATTCGTCTTCAGGTAACGAGTACAGGTGATCGACCAATTCAAGTTGGATCTCATTATCATTTCATCGAGACCAACTCGCAGCTTGAGTTCGACCGTATTCGTGCTTATGGCTATCGACTTGATATTCCCGCTGGAACGTCAGTAAGATTCGAGCCCGGAGATACCAAGACTGTTACCCTCGTTGAGATCGGAGGCAACCGTGTTATCCGCGGTGGTAACAATCTTGCGTCTGGAGTTGTTGACCTCTCACGCGCCGACGAAATCCTCGCTCGATTACAAGAAGCTGGATACGCTCACAAGCCAGACCCTGCCGGCGACATGGCTCATATCGATGTTTTTCAGATGGACCATGCGTCTTATGCGACTATGTTTGGCCCTACCACTGGAGACCTCGTTCGGCTCGGCAGCACAGATCTCTGGATCAAGGTTGAGCGCGACGAAACTGTCTACGGTGATGAATGTAAATTCGGTGGTGGTAAGACACTGCGTGAGGGAATGGGCCAAGCAACTGGACGACATGATGCCGAAACCCTCGATCTCGTGGTGAGTAATGCTCTCATCGTGGACTGGACGGGTATCTATAAGGCAGATATCGGAGTCAAAGAGGGCATGATCGTCGGTATCGGCAAAGCAGGCAACCCAGACGTTATGGACGGCGTAACGGAGGGCATGGTCGTGGGAAGCTGCACAGATGTCGTAGCAGGTGAAGGAAAGATTGTGACCGCCGGCGCTATCGACTCGCATATTCACTTTATCTGTCCCCAGCAAATACCCGAAGCTCTTGCATCTGGTGTAACCACCATGCTTGGCGGTGGTACAGGTCCAAGGTTTGTCCAATATGCATTCATCGTGTTATCTTTGAGGCTGACAGTGGTTGTAGTGCTGGCACGAACGCAACTACTTGTACGCCTGGTGTTCATTACATGCGTCAGATGTTGCAGGCGTGTGACCAGTTTCCTATCAATATTGGTATTACTAGTAAAGGTAATGATAGTTCTCCTGAGGGTTTGCGCGACCAGGTTAAAGCTGGTGCTTGTGGTCTCAAACTTCACGAGGACTGGGGCTGTACTCCTGCTGCCATTGACGCTTGTCTCAGTGTCTGTGATGAATTTGATATTCAATGTCTTATTCACACTGACACACTTAATGAGTCTGGCTTTGTCGAATCTACAATCGCTGCTATCAAGAACCGCACAATTCATACTTATCACACAGAGGGTGCGGGAGGTGGTCATGCCCCTGATATCATCTCCGTGGTAGAGCATGAAAATGTTCTGCCATCCTCGACCAACCCTACAAGACCATTCACACGCAACACCCTTGATGAGCATCTCGATATGCTTATGGTTTGTCATCACTTGTCCAAGAACATCCCAGAGGATGTAGCCTTCGCCGAGAGCCGTATCCGTGCTGAAACCATTGCTGCTGAGGATGTATTACACGATAAAGGCGCTATCAGCATGATGAGCTCTGACTCGCAGGCTATGGGCCGTTGCGGAGAGGTTATTCTAAGAACATGGAATACTGCGCATAAGAATAAGGTGCAGCGGGGTTGGCTGCCGGAGGATGAGGGCACAGGGGCTGATAATGCGCGTGTAAAACGCTATATCAGCAAGTATACTATCAATCCGGCTATTGCTCAGGGTTTTGGACATGTCATTGGAAGTATTGAGGTTGGCAAGTTTGCTGATCTTGTTCTTTGGGACCCTGCGTGGTTTGGCACCAAGCCCAGCTATGTCCTCAAGGGTGGGCATATCGCATATGCTCAGATGGTATTTTACTCTCTTCCAACTCTGAACTTTGCAACTTGATGACTTACTAACTATGTATCAGGGCGATCCCAACGCGTCAATCCCAACAGTTCAGCCCGTCATTGCTCGTCCAATGTTCTCGCCACACTGCGCCTCTGCGAGTATTCTTTTCGTCTCCGCGGCGTCCATCGAGACAGGAGCTATCGCTTCATATGGTCTACGCAGCCGCATTGAGGCTGTCAAGGATTGCAGAAATATAGGCAAGAGTGATATGCGCCACAACGATCTGAAGCCCAAGATGCGTGTTGACCCAGAGAGTTATACGGTTGAGGCTGATGGTGAGGTTTGTGTGGCGGCGCCTGCAGAAACCCTACCACTTACACAACAATTCTACGTATACTAAGGTAGCAACATGGTAGCTATTGGATAGTTGCTAAGCTATAGGGTTGCATATCATAGGCTGAAATTGGATACTGGCTAGCTATATATACCATCACACATTATGCCCAAGGATGATACCATGAAACATAGCCCTGTCATATATGTTCATATAAGTGCTATTACCGCCACCTTGCACGGCACAAACTGATCCGTGTGTGACACTTTCGATTCATGATACATTGGTCATTCACCCTCACACACAAGAGACGATGATCACACAGGAGAGCACCTGAGGCCCCTTTATGGGTAAGCAAGGCAAGTATCTTTCCAAGGGGTAAAGTTTCTTGATTTTAGAAGTTTCAAAACCGCTAGATGATTAAGGCTTCAGGCTATCTTTTTGTGTATGCAAATAAATTGTATTTGATGGTATCCTGAAATTAAAAAGAAGTTATTCAAAACGATCGCGAGCTTAGAAGTGTTCCTTCCAGAATCGGAACTCCACATCAGGCACTGTGGCTTCTTTACAAGCCGTCTTGATATCACGAGCTATAGACAGAGTTAGCATTGTCTCAAGGCGGATGGATGTTGGGGCTTATGACATACCAGCTGATGATGGACCACAGAAGTAAACACCAACTGTCGTCCTGATATGGGACTCTAGACCGTTCAGGTATGTTCGGTCCAAGATACCGTTTCGCATGGTAGTAAACAGACGAGGGAAGTCAGGGCGACCAAAGTTTGTTCGTGATTGTAGTTCTGTGAGAGGATCCATCTGAGCACCGACACTGTTGAGTACGATGTTTTGAGCAGTGTCGATATCCAGCTTCTGTGTGAGATAGGTGTGAATCTTGAGGAACTCGACGCCCGAGCTGCCAGGCATGCGTGCCGCTTCGTTGGATTGCTCTTCTAGGGATGACAGGAGAGTCTGGAACCACTCAAATGAACCAGTATCCTTGCACACCCAGATAAACTCGACACGGCGAAGTCGGCGGGGAGGGTTGGGTGAGTTGCGGAGATGCCAGATGTTCTTGAGGATAGAGGCCCATGGGGTCACACCAATACCGGTACCGATAAGCACAGCGATTTCGTTCTCGAATACATCTTCGGCAGGGGCACCGTAAGGGCCGTCGATTCGGAGGGCAGGCATCTGATCGCCGTTCTGAAGGGCAACTTCGTACATACCCATGGGGTCAACATCGTCGTAGAGCTTAGCCTGGGCAGCACCAGCACCGAGAGCATCACCCAACTCTCGGGTGAAGTCACCAACTTGGCGAACGTGGACAGACACATAAGGGTCAAAGGGACACGAAGTGATGGTAAAAGGGTGCCACTGGTACTTTGAGAGCCCGGGTACCTGGAGAAAGAGCCACTGACCAGCCTTGTACTTGAAAGAAGGCTTGTTGAACTGGATCTCAACCACGTCGTAAGGATGGCGAACAACTCGGGTGATCTTGGTCTCACGTCGAGCACGAATCTCACGCCACAGACGCTCAAGAAGGTAGAAACCACCGGTCCAGAGCTCCCATCGCCATCCAAGATAGCCAATACAGTGCTCCCAGAACTCGTCGCCCGCGAATGGTGAGATAGCCTCAGGTGTGTCACGCACGAAACATCCAACGGTGTGGGTGTAAAGACCGAGGAAGAACGGGATGAAGAGATGGTGGGTGTACCAGAACGTCTCGAATGACTGCTGACGGATGCGAGCGTGAGCGGTCGTATACATCAGCAACATGCAGAGAAGCATGACATGACCAGTGATTCCACCGGGCTGAGCATAATGAATCTGAAGAGCCAAGACAGGTCGAATCTGAGTCAACTCGACGTTATAGAAGTTGACGTAGTGAGCGCCTGTGTGAAGGCAGGTGAAGAGGAGGATGGAATAGGCGAGTTGGCGATGCATCCAGAGATTCTCGTCGAGTGGAATGAATCGAATCTTGGGTCGAACCCAACGCATGATGGTTCGGCATACGGGGAGCAGGATAAGCATACAGTCGACGCTAAGAACTAGACCAGCACCTCGTGAGATCCATACTGAGAATTTGAGTGTGTTGAGGCCTGCCAGTCTGGCATCTGCGGCTTGCTTCCACCTATATCATATCAGTCAGTTATGAACCATGAGTTTGTTTGTGCATGATGAGTCTCTCAACTTACCAACCATAGGCAAAAATACCCCAGTGAAAGGTCCAGAAAAGAAAGTGGAAGAAGAGTTTACTGGCGGTAAACTGCTTCTTTATTAATTCGAGGAATCCGATATGTGAACCCATCGTTGCGGTAAGTGTCGAGTGTTAATTAAGAAAGAAAAGTCAAGGTCGGCCGGCGACAGGACTATAGAGGATCTACGCTCGATAGGGAGAGAGTGTGAGATATCGAGTAAATTATCCAAAAACCCTTAAAATAGTAAAACAGAATAAGAGACTGATCCAGCAGCGAGAGGAAGCGAAAGTCGTGGCTGAGAAGCCCGGGGGGGTTGAGGGAATGTTGGCGAGGACGCTGAGTAACAAACAATAGCGACCCGAGAAAAGAGAGATGAAGAAAGGTTCGGATGAGATCGCAGGCAGGACCAGGTTCATAAAGTGAATTTTTTTTTTGTTGCAAAAGTCGACAGGCTTGGCCAAGAATATCAAGGCTATAGTAGGAACCGTGATCCGAAATCTGATGCGCTGGGGATCTGTTTAAAACGGGTACAAGGAGGTATCGAGTTGCCAGATCGGGTACGGAAGATGTGGATGCCGAGATGCTACGAATTCACCAGCGGAAGTTGAAACGTTACAGAGGAGAATCGCAGCGGGTTTCGTGGTTGGGATGAGACAATTGGCGTCGGGGGGGCACTCTCTAGGCTCTTTTGGTTGGAGATGGCGGATGGGTAGTGTTTCGCGGGGGGTGCCAAGGCTGAGACCGGGGCTGTTTCTTATTGTTACTGCGACGGTCGATATAGCGTCTGAATAAGGAGGTTAAACGTCGCAGAAGAGGTTCAAGATATTCAAGATTCATCGAATGCAGGAAAACAGGGGACTTGTTGCTTTTACTCCAGATCTGTTCCCTCTGTTAGTCTACCTAGTTAGTGGTTAAAACAACTCACTACCACCATCATCATCATGGGGACAATATTGATCCCCCGGCGCCTATTAGAGGCCTGGGCATTCTGTTCTATAGCGTCTGACTGGCCGATTAAATTAGGAACACTGCACCTAATGCCATCAACGGGCCCCGGAACCAGTCACCGACACGAGGACCCTGAAGAGGCGCCTGGGGTTCGAGTCTCTGGGCGCTTAAAATCTCGAGATGCAGCCAACGACAGGCTCTTGCCAACCACTTGTAATGCACTGTGACGGCGCTAGTTTGGGACTAATCGATCCAAGTGCACATTCTTAATTCTTGGCCATTGTCTCGAACGATTGTTTCTGATCCTCTACTCACTATGACGCCCCGAGTTTTCGGTAATCAGCAGGTTTAGTGTAGTGATCACGGCTCACACAAGGTGACACTATACAACCAACAGAGTTTCTAACCAACCAACATGCGATTAACGAATGCACGGCTAGATCTCGTCACGGTCCTCAGCTGTATCAATCCCCCAGGAAATCGAACGACTGTCATCTGATGTCCTCTGCTCGTCCACAATGCACTTCTCCTCAGGTTCATCGGATGAGTTTCGAAATAAAAAGCCAAGATTTCTGCTATTGTCGCAGATTGCTTAGCGGGTGAAGTGCAGCACATTAAGCAGACCGCTCATCACTTTCACATCGCACAAGAACTCGGTTGTCACTCCAACCGCCATCACAAGAAATCACTTCCTATAACCTCTTGAAGAACGAGAGATGGTTTTCATCGTGCGACAGTCCTGTTGAGCAATTGCCTTGTTGGTGTTAGTCGCACCGATAAGATGTATCGAAGCAGAAACACTCACGATTTAGACTACTGTCATCTTCAAACATCAGATCCATTGCCTAGGGGTTAATAATCACAACTGCCCGATTTGTCTACTTCCAAAACACCAAACTCCGATATAGTGCGACATCTCTGTCCCGGAGACCGACGCCGTATCCGTGCCGGAGAAGTGGGGCCGATGCCACGAGTACATGCCGCCAGCAACCAACCATGAACCTTCTATAATCCGGTAATAAGGCCAAACTACCTAAATGCCCGAATGACAGTCACAGGCACATTTTAGTGGCGCCAGAGCTGAATCGTCAGTATGAATTCATCACTGCAACCGACGGAGCATCATGTCCTTTTCATGTCTTGTGTGGTGCAGCCGCACACCAAAACCTGCTTTTAAGGCATGATGAAACTCATAGAATTGACCAACGCGGCTCAAGATAAACATCGAGTGTTATATCGGTAGCCCTATTTCCATTCAATGACAAGATTCTGGCCTTGGGCGATCTCGATACCCCACCAATTACCATGGCAAGCTTGGTTCAAGCTCCCCGCAAGCTGACGTGTTGGTGTAATGCCAAGAGACCAACAGTACGACGCCTGTTTCTTTGCGAATGTGGAAGCGAGCCACGGAAGGACAGATTGATTAGAGACACAGACCAAACGAGGCAGAATCAGCGGCTGGTGAATGCATTCGGGCATAAACAGGACACACGACAGAATCGACAGCAAATGCACTAACTTCAGCTAACGCCTCTTAGGCTGTGGCACAGTTTCTCTCTCTAAGCGTCAACATCGTCAAGCCCAAGTTAAGGCCAAGCTAAGGCTTTCACTACCAAGCATTGACTCGCCAAGCTTCAAAGTAACCACAAATACTTGCTTGAACGAGCGAGCGATCGTGGATCTATTTACCTATTTTCAATTCTTATGTCTACCTACGTACAAATGGTTCCGCCAAGAAGGAAAGCTCGGCAAATCATCCATGCCCGCTAGCTTATGACGTAGTAACTTACCACCTTCCATCGCACCTTCCTTCGACTCGACAGCAACCTTTGAACTACCTGCCTGCCTTAATTCTTGTCATTCTTCTCCTTGTTCCATAATTTTCTTGGTCTTTCCAACTTGTCCGTGAAACTTATCAACTAAGCTTTTTCTCCCGCATCTCCAATGACTCTGAACAATTCCTAGTTCCTTGCCAATTGTATATCACCAATCTGTCACTACCTCAAAAGACTACCCGCGACCCGCCATGTCTGGAAGAGACGATGCGGAGGAGCACCGTCGCTATACAGCTCCATATAGCGCCAGGCATCCTATTCCAACCATCTCCAAATATCGAGAAGAGAGAGCTGCACGTCAAGATGCCGCAGTGGGAAAATCTGACTCGTCAGAGACTACGGGCTCAAATGATTATCAATTTCAGCAAAAGTCTAGAGAGGACGATGGGCCACACCTAGAATCAGTCGAGGATGACAAGGATGATAGTACTAGTAAAAAGGACGAAAATGAAGAGGCAGGCAATGGGGAAGAAATGCCAGACACTTCACAAGTTGGTCTCCAATCATCAGATCCAAAACAACGGAGGAAAGAAATCAAGAAGAGCAAGAGAGAAAGAGCCGAGCGAGAAGTTACGGACCCTGTCACTCATCTTCCTGTCACTATACACGATTTCACGGACGAAGCTCTCAAAGAGATAGACACTAATGAGCCCCCCTTTGGCACAACACAACGCACAGCGACAGGGTCGGAAAACAAGAACAAGACAGACGAGCAACTCCGGGATGAGCATCGAGATATTCAACAGAGTCATGATGCCATGGGTGATTTATTTCCACCACCCGATTTCGATGCTCTGCGCCTAGAGCTTTCATCCATCAGCAAGCGCGGTGTCACGTTCGGGCTTGCGGGCGTGGCTAGTATCGTGGCCGGCGCATTTGCTATCGAAAGACTCGTCCGAGAGGGTATTCTCGAGGAAGGCAAAACTAAATCCTCATTATTCGTTGGCGCTTCGCTCTGGTTGTTCCTGACCGCAGCCACTGCGGGAGCTATATGGTTTCTTGTGGTATCAGTTCGAGAATGGATGTCCAAAAAAGTCAACAATATTTTTGAAGATGAGGTCTGGGATGCTCATCGACGAGGTGTTGTAAAGGCATCTAAGAAGAACGATACTGAGACTACGGTCTGGCTCAACTCTCTAATCGGTTCTGTTTGGCCTCTCATCAACCCCGATCTATTTGCCAGCCTTGCAGACACCCTGGAAGATGTTATGCAAGCTTCGCTTCCCAGGTTAATTCGAATGGTCAGTGTGGAGGATATCGGCCAGGGAAGTGAGTCTCTGCGGATTCTTGGAATAAGATGGCTGCCTACTGGAGCCGCAGCTCGGGCAGTCGATGAAGAAGGACAGCTCATGACCAAGAAACAAAGTGAGGATGACACTGAGGAGAAGGACGGTGAGAATAGTGATAGCAGTGCCACGATTCAGGACGGAATGGAGGCCGAGGAAGGAGACTTTATCAACCTTGAGGTTGCATTTGCCTACCGCACTCGATCTTCATCCAAGTCTCTCAAGGAGAGAACCAAAGATATGCATCTATACCTTGCATTTTACCTGCCTGGAAACCTCAAGATACCTGTCTGGGTCGATCTCCAAGGTATGATTGGTACCATGCGCATGCGCCTCCAGCTTACCCCTGATCCTCCCTTCTTCTCTCTCTGCACGCTCACCTTCCTTGGACAGCCAAGGGTTAACCTGAGCTGCGTGCCTTTGAGTAAACATGCTATCAACATCATGGACGTGCCATTCATCAGCAACTTTGTTCAGTCCGCCGTTGATGCCGCAATGGCTGAATACGTTGCCCCGAAAAGCCTTACCCTGGACTTGAAGGACATGCTTGCTGGTGATGATTTCAAGAAGGATACCAACGCTGTTGGCGTTCTGGTCGTCAACATTAAGCGCGGCTACGACTTCAAGATGGGTGATTCAGGCATTCCACTTATCAAAGAAGGAAGCTCAGACGGGTACGTCTCGGTCGGCTGGGCCAAATTTGGTAAAGTGATGTGGACGACACGAGTACTGGAGAATGAGATGGAGCCTGTTTGGGATGAAACTTGTTTTGTTCTCGTGACACCACAGGAGCTTAACATCGACGAGCGACTTCGCGTTCAACTGTGGGATTCCGATAGGTTGACGGCGGACGACGACCTCGGACGAATTGAAATTCCCATCAAGGAGCTGATGAGGGACGATAAGTCTAATGGGAAGATGTCACATCGAAAAGATGGCTTCAGGGCCCTGAAATCGGGTGATGGTATGCCCGGAAAGCTCGAGTGGAGCGTTGGATACTTCTCCAAGACCAGAATCCAGCAGTGTCAGTTTGAGAAGCAG